GGCTGCCCTGACCGACTTCTTGCTGGCGGATGCGATCGTCTCCTTCCGTCCTTCTTCCGGTCACTCGCTCGAACCTACTTCCTATTGCAATCGAGCTCTTCCTTGCGCCACATTGTTGACAGCTGCTTGACGTGTCGGCGGTGCCCATCCGTCTGAAGGTGCTAGTAGATATATTCGCTGGTGGTCCCACTTGCCTTCCTGTCCAATTGCTTCTCATGGCGCCCTGACGGATTGCAGTATGTACAGCTTGTCATTATGATTGCTTGCTAGGATTGTTGCTAATGCACTCGGTTCGCCTAGTGAGATCGACGTCGAGGTCGTCGATGAGATAACACTACCCTCGCGCCGCTAGCTTCTTTTCTTGCTTTTAATTCTCCCGCTCGTCCATATCTGTTTACACCTGCCCGACTTCCACCATGGCTGAAATGGCAGTCAAAAAGCAGCGGCGAAAGAGCTTCAGCAGTGTGTTCAGTCCTTCGTCCACAACCTCGGCCCCTCCTCTCCGGCCGCGTCTCCATGACCGAACACCCTCGGATGATACGCTGACGCAAAGCAAAAAACGCCGCAATTCGGGGTTTTTTGGCCGGGCCCAGAGTCCGAATAGAAGATCCACTGGCCCTAATGTCTTGCGTCGACCCGGGACGGCACACTCGGACATCACGTCCTTCTCCGCTTCATCTACGCCTGTTCTGGAGACCCCGCGACCCCGGAAGTCGCTGCAGAAGAAACGCACTTCCGTCTTCGGGTCCTTCCGGTCCTTGCACTCACTGCACTCATTGGAAGACGACAACGACCCCCTCAGCGCGTCGGTCGGCTCGCTTGGAGACGATCAGCATGTAGCTGATCCCCGAAATGGGATTTGGTCATCCGCCATTCTCCACCATGGGGAAATACAGACTACTGGCAGCATGTGGAGAAAGAAAAGCCAGTATCTCGTTCTGACAGACACGCATATCATCCGTTTCAAGACCCAGAGCAAGGCCGCCGATGCGTTCCCTTCGATCCCACCTTCCTATAATGTGCGGGCCCCGGCCCATCACCGCCAATCAATCGCCTCGATAAGCTCATTGCAGGACATGCACCCGATGGTCGCGGGCGATGCGTCTGCCGGTATTCCGCTAAATAGTATCATTGCGGTCTACATGCTGGAGGATGGACGGTTGTCCCCAACAGTGGAGGTAGCGTACCTGGATGAGCGCACTCACAAAGCTGCCTTAGTTCAGATGCAGACGCCCGATCTACAAGAGCTGAATCTTTGGATGGTGGGCATTCGTCAGGCCGCCCAGATGGCTCGGTCAAACGATCCGCTGCTGTTCAGTCGAGGCTCGGTCGAGTACGTGACTCGGATGCTGGAGCACGAGCGAGACTATGACCCACAGGTTTTTCGTATGTTCCGCGTTATCCAAATCGCTTCGAGCAAGTCACCTACGCGATCTTCCTCTGATGATCTGGCGAAATTGTCACCCACCGGCTGCTACCTCGCTCTTGGATCTCACAAAGTCCATCTTATTCCAATGCAAAAGACCGGCAACCGATCATCGGTGGTCTCACTCACTGACTTGGAAGTGGGCGCCTCCTTTGGTTTCATGAATCTCACTGGTCTGTCAATGGAGTACGGCGACGATAGCCTGCATCTTTCGTTCAGAGTTCCATTTCAGAAAACATTCAACGTCTTCCTGGCCTCGGTTCACTCGGTAGAAGTTGCTGGCTGGATTCGACAGCACACTGAGTTCCTGCGTCCTCTATGGACCAGACAGCCATATGAGTTTGTTGTGCCGCGTGAGTTGCAGAACGATGACAACTTCCCGCCTGTAGCGCTGGATGAGGATTACGGCTGCTTCGACCGCACGCTGGTCGCTTATTCCGCAAGTTACGATATTGACACCTCCAACATTCGTTACACGATTGACTTGGAGTGTGAAGATGCTCCTTGCTTCCGATTACTCCGTCCAGCTTCCCCGAGACTGCCAAGATACAGCGCCCTCGAGTTGATTGCGGTCATGCGCGCCCTTCGGTATAATGAATCTTTCCGCTCCATATCTTTCCGCGGCGTCAACCTCGATGTGCTTCAGGGTCTCCGTGATATTCACGGAGTGGATATGGATGTGCATCTTGACCGTGGAGGGTGTCTTATTCAAATCCCAGGTCAAGGGAGCCTCGCCGTTCTCTCTGAAGAGATACGAGGTTTGGTCTTGAAGAGCAAATGGCTGCGTCGGCTCGATTTCTCGTATTGTCTTACGCGGACACCAACATTCGACAAGGGGACTCGTGATCCGGGCTGTGGAATCCCAGAGGCCATTTTCCCTGTTTGTCGCCGGGAACTGACTAGTGTCGATTGGGTAGCTCTGAATGGAATCAAGCTCGGCGAAACGGATCTTGACTACTTGGTGGATGCGGCATCCCAACGCCGGAGTCATCTGAGAGCATTGGAGGTCGGAGATTGCGGATTGTCTGTTCATGACCTGGACCTGCTGCTGTCAACCATTGTCGCGCAGGAGTCTACTCTCGAGGCTATCAATATCTCCGGCGTCCAGGGACGATTAAACCCCGATGTTCTTCAACAGTACATCGGGTACTTTGGTCAGATTCGCAAGATCAACCTATCCCGCATCTCCCGGACATCTGGCCCCGAGCCGCTCATCACAGCAGAAATGTTGTTCAATTGGCGACTTGAAGAACTGGCCCTCAGCCGCACGACTGTCAACCGCCAGACTGTGGATGCCATCGCCACCTACCTGGCCAGTGATAGGTCCCGGAACCTGCGCGTCCTCCGACTCGACCAGTGCGGCCTGACCGGAGAAGATGTTGCCATGTTCATGCATTCGATGGCGGCTGGTCCCGACGCTTTGCGGAGCCTCCATTTGCATGTTAACGAGAACCGGCTTGACAATGGCTGTTCGTTCATTTTTGACGCAATTGCGAAAAACCAGACCCCATCGCATCTATCTATGCGGATGATTGATTTCAAAAAGGAAGACCAATTCCGGGAACTGGTGGATGCAGTCCGGAAAAACACCAGCCTGCGATATCTAGATATCTCCAAGGCGTCCCTTCCGTACGATGCAGGTCCAGAGACGTGCCGCGCTCTGCAGGTAATGTTTGAGGAGAACAAGACGCTAGAAGCGTTGGACATCAGCGGAGAGAATGCGCATCTGGACGTCGCCCGGTTCGGGATCGGTCTCAACCTGGCGCTGACTGGCTTGAAGAAAAATACGTCTCTCAGGGTGCTTCGAATCGAGCACCAGAAGCTGGGTCTCCAGGGCGCGAATACTCTGGCTTCGGTTTTGGAGTACAATAACTCGCTGCGCGAGGTGCATTGCGAGAACAACGATATCAACCTTCAGTCATTTACCGTTCTTGTCAATGGTCTGCAGTGCAACCGCACCCTGCTCAGTCTTTCATGCATGGATCGGGATCGAACCTTGTCCATCGACAAGGTGCGGCGAGAGGTTGACAATGTCCGATGGGATGCAAGCAATGTCCAAGGCTCTACGGCGAACTCGATCCGTCGCTCCCTGCATGCAGCGATGCATGTTGGCAATGCCCCCGTTGGACATCGATTGAGCAAACATCCGCCGGCAAATGTTGCTGCCGCTCTGGAGACATCTCCATTCGCTAGCCACAACGTTGATCTCGTCCTGCAGTCCCTGAACCGAAAATGGGACATGGAAGTCGCTCGCCTGCGCCGATATCTTCTTCGCAACTATAATATCGCACATGGAATCCAAGACGACGTCGATGATGCGTCTAGCGATGGCCGGCCCGTGACAGCCGCCAGTCTAGGCACTATGCTCGATGACCTCAAATTCGAGGTCGCAGTATCAGCAGACGAAATCCATGCCTCGCCACCCGAAGACTCCGCATCATCCATCCACCTTGCCGAAGAGGACCCGGGAAACCGGCCTCTTCCTCGTGTCCCCACAGCCGAGTTCACGTCCAGCATAATGGCGCAAAGCGAATCAGATCCGCGCGCCCAAACCGCTCGCGCGGCACAGATTCTGCCCTCAGAATTCGGTCCATCAAGCCCTATCTCTTCCTCCTCCTCCTCAATCTCACGCATGGCAAAGCCCGTCCCCGCCGTGCCTTCATCCGTCCACCGATCGAATAGCATCCGCAGCGCAAACAGCTCCAGCACCGTCTCAATTGGCAACCGCAGTGCGCGCAGTGCCTACGGCATGGCCTCATCCACTCTACGCGGGTTTCTCAGTGGAAACGCCATGAAAGATCGTCGGAAGGTGCAGCACGACTCGCGTCCGCCCACGGTGTTCGTTCAGACGAATGACAAGCCGCCTCAGCTGGACTGGGCTCCGCCGAAACTCGATTTGCAGGAGCTGTGATCGCTGACTGATATCAGCTAGCAGCTGCCTTTGTTCCCCCGTGGTTACTGTTTGCATTGCTGTCGGATTGTACATATCCGCTTTTGTACAGAATCAAGGTCCTTCCCCATCCTCCACCTCTCTCTCCCCCTTCTCTCTCTCTGTGGATCTTGAATCCTTATCCTCTCCGCAAAGCTCTGTTTCTGGCAATGATACCCTGATCTACACCATCTGAATGTTTTGATCATCTGTCTTATCACCTTACGCTTATAAACCTCCTCCCTATCTCTCATAGAGATGCGATTATCATTGTTTCCACTTGGCGTGGGTTACATGTGCATCTGTGGGATTGGCTTTCCTTATCTATGGGGCGTCTGCATCTACTGGTCATGGCGTTGAGATATATCCTCGATCTTAGTTTAATGTTATGATGCTCTTGTTTGTCCATTGTCTCGACTTGAAGAATTATTTAGAACACAGAACATGAGGAGAATGGATTTCTATCGACCAAAAATTGCCGTTCAAATGGGTATGTTCGTATACAAGATCCCCCGGAATGAAACAACCCGACACAGACCAAACTAGAAACAAGTGAAGAAAAGGGAGGAAAAACAAACCCTCTAATGTACAATAGGTCCAACCAAACTCCAAGACGATATACTTTCGTCCTCCTGAAACCCAAAATTAGTTAACCGGTTCATTAAACACAACAACCCCGTGCTTCTCATCAAGCTGATTCTCCTTCTCGCGATGGCTACGACCTTGCTTAGCGACTTCGCGCAACTGCCGAATATAAGCATTGGCCGCGACGCCAATCTCATCCTCGCCACGGTCATCGAGAACAGCGCGGCGGCGGCGCTGGCACATTTCGTACAGGCTGCGCGCTCGATAAGGCTCCAGTTCGTTCAGCTCGTAGTCGACGGCCCATTCGTCGCCGGCCTTGAAGTTGGTGGGACGGTCGACTGGTTTTCTGTTCACCCTGTTTTTGACCGAGAGCACCATTCCGAGGAGCTCGGTTTCTTGCCCGCCCTTTTCGAGGTCTTCGGTGAAGGATGGGTCCGGAGGAGCGTCCGAGTCGTATATCGGGGCTGATGTGGCCTCTGAGGAGGGAGACTCGGGCGTGTTAGGATCTGAGGAGAGGGTTTGAGAGTCTTCTGAGGGCGTAGAGGGCGATGGTTCTTCTATCTTTGCTGCGGCATCGAGGTCCTCGTTTATATCGTCTTTTGGTTCGGGATGGAGAAGACGCTTCTGGTATGCCTCGATTTCGGCTTGATTCTTCGTCTGGATGGCGTCGATCTCCTCGTCCGTGACGGGCTCGGCAAAAATGTACATAAATGGAGAGGTTGCGTCTCTTGTTTCAAAATGGAAGCGCAGCGATTGCTTGGGGAACCGGGCAGTGGCCTTGTCGAGGATTTTATTCCACAGTCCCAAGCTCAGCTTGAACTCTTCATCTCCCAGCGCAGTGTCGCTCTGTCCGTGCAGGGCTTCGTCCATCTCCGCAAGACTAATATACTGAAATCCGAAGATGCGCTCGACGTTGTGGAAAGCGACAAATATCCCATCCATGCGGCCGACGCGCACCTGCAGAGAATACTTCAGGAACGCGGCGCGGATCATGTCGAAGTATTCCCGCTCAAAGGACTCAAAGTCACCGAATCGACCCTTGATCTCGTATCCTAGACCGTGCTCAAAGTTCTTTGCATCCATTCGAATCGAGACAACGGCACGCGTTTTCAAATCGAACATTCCAGTACCCGGCAGACGGGGATCATAGGCATCCAGCTGGGACCGCATGATGAAATCGCCATAGGTGGTGAAATGGTAGGACTCAGGTACGGCCTCCTCTTCTTCCGGCGTGATCTTGTTTTCGTGCGATCGGCGATACCGCTCAAAATCATCTTTCGGCAAGGTGAGGAGCTTCTCCATTGATTTTCCGAGGTTCATAAGGATATTGGCGTTATCAAACTCCTTGTCCGCGTCGATGGCGTACACCCCATCCTGGTACCGAAGGAACATGGCCGCAGGCGAGCGGAGAAGGCGTGTGAAAGAACGCAACTTCTCGGAGAAGCCTTGAGATACGCTGCTCACATTGACAGGTCGCCAGCTCGAAAGAAGGTAATGGAAATGCGAGAGAACCGAAGTCATACTCGAAGATGACCCAACGTACTTCTTCTGTTGCTTGACAGCTATGTCACGTAAAGTCTCATCTTTGGACGAGGTTATGTATGCCTTCAAAGCTTCGAAATCAAACTCAGTTACCGGCATAATTGAACCCAAATACGGATCAAAGTTGTAGACACGAGACCGAGGGTCACGAAGATGGTAAACGCCAGGACTGTATCGTGTTAGTTTCACAAATCTTCTAGCAAAAAGAAGCAGCTTACTTGAAAAGCACCCTTTCAAGGCCAAATGACAAAGTTGGAACAGGGGCCAGGGGAATATCCAATGCTTGGGAGAAGAAGAGTCAGCCGGGGTTCTGATAGTCATTCTCTAGCGACACTCACGGGTCAATGGCTGAGATCGTGCATTTAGAGAGCCTTGGTCTTGATGGATTATGGACTTTGACTTGGTTGCCGGGTTTTCCTCTCGCTCTCGCTTCGCCTTCCGGGGGGCAGGGAGTTAGGCTGCTCCGTCACTCGGGGAGCTGCAATCTCTTCGTTCTGTCCCTTGACCTCCTGCTTGTCGGGGTCTTGCTTGCCTGCAGCGCTCTTCTTCTCCTTTTTCTTCTTCTCCTTGTCCGCGGCGGCCGTCGTGTCTGCAGCGGCCTCTTTCTCCTTCCCGTTCTCAGCGACGGCCTTCATCTTTTCTAAGCGGGCCTTCTTTTCTTCAGCGGTCTTCCTCCTCTTCTCCTTCACAGTCTCCTTCTTCTTCTCCTTCTTGTCTGCAGCGGCCGTCGTATCTTCAGCGGCGGCCTTCCTCCTTGCTTCAGTGGCCTTCTTCCTCTTCCCCTTCACCTTCTCCTTCTTGTTTTCAGCGGCCTTGTCATCTTCGTTGAGATCTTTTTCAGCAGCCTTCTTGTCTGCTTGTGCTAATGCTGATGATGTAGCCTTCTTTTTCTGTTTGGCCCGTAGCCTCGCCCTGCGTTTTGTGTTGCCCACAAGAAGACTTTTCTTCTTTTTCTTTTTCCCTTCTCCTACTTGCTCTCCTTGCTCTTCTCGTGGTACCTTCGGCTTTAGCTGGCGACTGAACTTTTTCGCCGCGCTAAATTGCTGTGCTGTCGCTTGAATGGAAGCTTGAGAGTCTTGATGCGGGGGTTTTGGAGGCCTTTTCATTGCGGTTTTTATCCGGAGATTCCTGCAAGAAACTCGGTTAGTACTCCTTTCCGCGGGACACGAGAAAGGTGACAAGCTTCGTACCTGGGTCGCAGCTGCATATCCCCGAAACCGCGTTTGCGTCAGAAAGTATGGCCGTGTCTTCTTGCCTTTGCTAATGAAGAGAGGTGTGCTGTGAAAGGCGCGTAGCTTGTTGGGAGACCCAACCCGGCGTGCTAGACAGGAGAGGCAGACATGGTCGCGGAGAGGGTCTGAGACCGACCGCAGCGAGGCCCGAAACATCCGATCCTAAAATATAGAAACGGAAAGATATAGAGAGCACGCGGGCTATCAAATGGTGTTCCGGACAGCAATTGATGGAATTGAGAGCATCGATTCGAATCTCGCGCGTGTTTTTTGTCTGCCGCGAGTCACCGCTTTAGAAACCTTGATGCCTGAGGCAGAGACATGAAGAACAATCCAGATGGTTGTCAGAGGAAGAAACCAGGGGAAATGATATTGTCTAGTCCAGATCGGCCCTAGCAAGGTGGAGGAGATGGGATTTCATATAGAATGGAAATTCCTATTGTGCAGAAACCTGGATCTGGGTTGAACGACGACATACATGGAGTAGGTGGTGCACGGATTTTTAGGGCTAGAAATAAATGTACCAAACTACAGATCATTCCATTGAATTGTTAAGACTATTACATATTCTCCTTAAATGGCTTCTTCAGTAGTCCTATATTAGGTATACAATCCGAATCATTGTAAGGATCGCTGGTGGTGCCGGAGAAACACCGTCCCGGGAAAAAAAAAAGTCAACGATAAGAAAATCGATGATCGTCTCGTCGCTCCTCCACCATCCTCCCGCTGCAGTTGCTTCTCAGTCTCCCGCGCGAGGTAAGTTTCTTCTGCCATCTGTCAATGCCTTGACTTCACTCTCTCTTTTCTCTTTCATTGCCTTCCAATGCTTCTGTCCAGCTGGAGGGGCAATCGTCCTTACCCCGCGGAAGAAAGCCCACAATCGCTAACCCACCACGCCGTAGTCCCTCGAGACGCAGCTCCCACCATGGTTTCGGAACAATTGCGCGTCCTAATCGTCGGCAATGGCGGCCGTGAGCACGCTCTGGCCTGGAAGTTGAGCCAATCGCCCCTTGTCGACGCTGTCTACGTCGCTCCCGGAAACGGCGGCACCGGCCAGGGCAACTCCAAGATCACGAACGCCAATGTCAAGGGCGATGACTACCCCGGCCTGGTGGCTTTTGCCCAGACGAATAAGGTAAACCTCGTGGTGCCGGGGCCCGAGGCGCCGTTGGTAGATGGCATTCAGGGCTATTTCCAGGCCGGTAAGTTCAGTCATGACCACTTTGACCTCCTAGCTAACACCACTCCGTGATAGTCGGTATCCGATGCTTCGGTCCGTCCAAGGCTGCTGCCCGCATGGAGGGCTCGAAGACCTTCTCCAAAGACTTCATGAAGCGCCACCAGATCCCCACCGCTGAGTTTGGCAATTTCTCCGACTACGAATCTGCCCGCCGCTACCTCGATTCCGTCTCGCACAATGTGGTGATCAAGGCTGATGGTCTTGCTGGTGGCAAGGGTGTTCTCCTCCCAGCCACCAAGGAGGAGGCGCACCAGGGGCTGAAGGAGATGATGCTGGACCACCAGTTCGGCTCGGCCGGTGACGAGGTGGTCATTGAAGAGTACCTCGAGGGCGACGAACTGAGTGTGCTCACTTTCAGTGACGGCTACACCATCCGCTCTCTGCCTCCGGCGCAGGATCACAAGCGCATCTTTGACGGTGACCAAGGCCCCAACACGGGTGGCATGGGTTGCTATGCGCCTACGCGCATTGCTCCCAAGGAGGTCATGGAAGAGATTGACCGGACCATTATCCAGCCGTCCGTTGATGGAATGAGAAGAGATGGTACGTTCAGCATGACTGCCATGCTAAAATGCTGCTAACCGTTCTCCTTGCTAGGCTTCCCCTTTGTCGGTATCTTGTTCACCGGTCTGATGATGACCAAGAATGGGCCCAAGGTTCTCGAGTATAACGTACGGGGCGGTGATCCCGAGACGCAGACTCTGTTGCCGCTGTTGAGCAAAGACACCGATCTGGCGCAGATCATGGTCGCCTGTACCGAGCACTGGCTCGATGGTGTCTCCGTCAAGATTGAGCCAAAGTTCTCTACCACCGTCGTCGCCGTGGCTGGTGGCTACCCTGGCTCATATGCCAAGGGAACACCAATGACCCTTGACCCTGCGCCAGCTGGTACCCTCATCTTCCACGCCGGCACCACCTTGTCCGGGACCGAGCTGCAGACATCTGGCGGCCGTGTGATCGCCGCAACGGCGACGGCATCAACCCTCGAGGAGGCCGTGTCCAAGAGTTACGAGGGCATCGCCACAATCCACTACGATGGCATGTTTTTCCGCAAGGATATCGCGCACCGCGCGTTCCGCCAGCAGGCCAATACCGCTCTCACATACGCTGCGGCAGGTGTCTCCATCGATGCCGGCAACGAGCTGGTGAACCGCATCAAGAGCTCCGTGAAGCGCACCAAGCGGCCCGGCACTGACGCCGTCATCGGCGGGTTCGGCGGCCTCTTCTCCCTGGCCGCCGCCAACCCGACTTACCACCCGCACTCGCCGACGCTCATCGGTGCCATTGACGGCGTGGGCACCAAGCTGAAGATCGCTCACGCAGTGGGCATCCACGACACCGTAGGCGTGGACCTGGTCGCTATGAACGTCAACGATCTGGTGGTGCAGGGCGCCGAGCCCCTCTTCTTCCTGGACTGCTACTCCTGCGGCCACCTGGACGTGCCCACAGCCACAGCATTCGTGACCGGCGTCGCCGACGGCTGCGTGCAAGCCGGCTGCGCCTTGATCGGCGGCGAAACTGCCGAGATGCCTGGCCTCTTCGTCGACGAATCCTACGATGCCGTGGGTGCAGCCGTCGGCGCCATCAACACCACCGGCGAGCACGCCCGTCGCATCCTACCGTATACGGACTCCATGCGCCCCGGTGACGTCGTCCTCGCGCTGGCTTCATCGGGCCCGCACTCAAACGGCTACTCGCTGGTCCGCAAGATCGTCGAGCGCGCCGGTCTGCAATACTCTGACCCGGCACCCTTCACCATGCCCGGTCAGTCGAACCAGCTCTCTCTGGGTCGCGCCCTCCTCACCCCAACTCGCATCTACGTCAAGCCCCTCCTACACGCGTTGGCATCCCACCCGGCCGCCATCAAGGGCCTGGCCCATATCACCGGCGGCGGGCTCACCGAGAACGTGCCCCGGATGCTCCCCGCTACACTGACCGCGCATATCGACGTCAGCGCGTGGACCCAGCCGCCTGTGTTCGCCTGGCTCCAGAAAGCAGGCAACGTCTCCTCCGCGGAGATGGCTCGCGCCTTCAACTGCGGTGTCGGTATGATTATCGTCGTGGACCCGGCGGAGGAGGCTGCTGTGCGCGCCGACCTCGAGTCCCAGGGCGAGACGGTTTACCGAGTTGGCGAGCTGCGGGCTCGTGCTGAGGGCGAGGAAGGCTGTGTGCTTGGAGGTTTGTCTTCGTGGGATGCTTAAAATTTTGGATATTGTTTCTAGATTCGGCGGTATTATTTTGGATCTTTTGTGTTTCTTCGCTGTCTATATGAGTATGAGTGAAATGAGATATACCAACTTCTTTTTTTAAGAGGACTTGCGCATCGCAATGTTGGTGACAGTATACCTGCCGCCTCAGGTAGTGATTGGCTCTGGGGTTGATCGCTCACCCCGTTGATTCACTCCCAGCCAGCCTCGTAAGTTCCGTTCGTGCTTCTGGCTCTTCGCCTTGCTCCCATGCTAACCGCCTGGCTCCCTACTTGAGTTCCTAGGATGATGGAAAGAAGTGATGTGATGCGTTAAGCACTGGAAGATAAGAGTGGTTTTGAATGTTTGAAAGTCTTGCTTCAACCATATTTTTCCAACTAACGGTACCTAGCTCAAGGGCTGACATCAAACAAACGGCAGTACAAGATGGCTATCATACTGACCCCCGAGATGCACCCAGTGTAATCCCCGATTCAGGGTGTGATCTGTCCCAAACTTGGAGATCCCCTGGTACCGACCGCTAATCCTCAACTGCAGAGATTCTCCTGCCTCGTACTCCACGCCCATACCCCAGATTCCGATCTCCAGTCGCACCACCGTTCCAGGCTGGACCTTTTCTTCCTTGGCGTGCGTGTAAAAGGGCCAGTTTGGATGCATAGATCGGGAAGCATCAATCTCACGATTTGACGCGCGCAGAATCCCAGTAGGACCCTGGTAGAGGATGACCTCGGAGCGCTCCTCCTCTGGGATATTGGCAATTGTCTTCACAGGGAGGTTATCCCAAGGTATGTTGAAGTTCAACAGTTTCTCTCCGGAAACGGAAAGCTTCTCCAACACAAGGAAGACATCCATGTCATCGAGGTCCTCACAGCGCATGTACAACACTGCTTTGGGCATTCCCATAACCCGCGTGGTCTTAGAGAAGGTATACTTGAACGTCGCCCCAGCGTCCGGGTCTTGTGAGTTGTATGATACAGCTGTTTCCGGTGCTGGGGTCGGCTGATCCAGTGTCAGACCTCCATCCGCAGTCAAGTATGCCTTTCGATATTGCGTGCGCGACGGCGGGAAGTCCGTTTCCACAATATTCGCAAGAGGTTCCTTCTCTCCGTACCGCAGGATCGCCATTCGGACACGCGGAGTTGACTCCCAGCCATTTTCGATGCCTTTCAAGTACCGATCGAAGAAAGAAACAAGCTCGGATCGGGCCTCCTGGTTGCCCCAAATATCATACCACTCCTGGTAGGGATGCCAGCGGAGCCATTTGTTAGGCGAGGTGACTTCCATCCAGCCTCGGATCGCTCCCATGCCATGCATGGTGTTGGTCCAAGTGCCAGTGATGTATGTGGGGATATTAATCTTGGTCATGTCCGCTCGCTTGTCGTTCCACCAGTCGTTTGCCTTTGGTTGCTGTTCAAACATCTTCCGGAAGCTCTCCATGCCATGCCGACCTCGCAACATATACTTCGTGATAAGATGATCGAAGAGGTCGCCACCATAGATACCCCCGCGCGCGAACTGCTCCCGATACAAGTCGCCGCAGCCCTCCCAGGGTGCAATGGCCTTCAGAGACGGTGGCTGCAATGCTGCGATAAACCATTGGACAATAGCCAGGTGAGAATTCCCGGCCATGCCAACATTACCACTGCACCAAGGCTGCTTTGCGATCCACTCAATCACATCGTATCCATCTTCCGCCTCTTGAGTCCCCATGATTGCCATGCGCCCCTCGGAGTCAAATGCGCCGCGGGAGTCAGCATTCACAATGGCGTATCCATGCTCCACGTACTCGGCGGGGTCGGGCGCTTCGAACTTTTCCAAGCCGCTCAAGGTGCCCTCCGGGATCCCCAGATTCCAAGGTGTCATGAGTTTCAGTGAGTCGATGCCATTGAATTTTTTGCCGAAGGGACTCCAGCACAGAATGGCTGGGATGTCTTTTGCGGGAGCTGTATGAGGTCGATATATGTCTGCATACAAGGTGCAGCCATCTCGCACTGCAATGGCAACATCATGCTCGACGAGGATATCACAGGACAGAATGCGTCGTCCAGGTGCGGTAGAGCTGCCTTTTGACAGTAGTTCAGTGTGTGGATTGAGACCTTGGTACCCGCCATGGCCATGCTCTGGCTCCTTGAGCGCCTCCCAGGGTACATCAACGTTGAACTCGACTGGCATGGCTGAAAATGATAAGAAAGCTGAAGACCTTTTCCTCGAAACTCGTGAATATTGAGCATGGCTGTCACATAAAATAGTGCATGTATGTTATTTGCGCTCGTTCCGGCTGGAAGGGGTCGCTCCGGTTCGGCTCGGCCATGTGGGCGTCGTGCCGGAGGGAAACTCCCCCGTTGGCGTGAAATGCGGAGATGCACTCCACAGAACATGGGGTAAATCGAAGCGTTTGCTTTTGCACTGGTGCTGATAGGCGAACGCTGAAAACTATATAAAAATGGGGAAATCGTCAGGATCAGCGGTTCCCATGTAACTATACTGCTGCCCTGGTTTCTCTTTCTTATCGCAGCCATTCCTCGCCCACCATGGACAAGGGAGGCATAGCTCACGTCGAGACTACTCATGATGATCAAACATTCTCAAAGGAAACGGGTGGAAATGTCGAGCTCTTCAGGGGCAACGAAGTGGTCCTTATCCCAACTCCCTCGGCAGATCCTAGAGGTTCGTTTCAGCCCGACCGCTACAAGTCACTTCAATTTTTGACAGAAAGCAAGACCCTTTGAACCTTCCGCCATGGCGCAAATGGATCTTATTGAGCTTGATATCGGCATACAGCTGCACAGCCGTCGTACTGGCATCGGGCCTGGGGTCCATCTTCACCATCGTGGAAGCATCTTACCCCGGACAAGAAGCTCGAGCCAACGATCTAATGACCTATCCCACTTTATTTATGGGCATCGGAAATCTCATCGCAATGCCCTGGGCGTTCACACTGGGCCGCCGACCGGTATTCCTCGCATCGATGCTGCTTCTCATTTGCGCTGGAATCTGGTGCCAGTGCTCGACAAGCCTGACAAGTCATATCGCTGGCCGCAATATCATGAGTCTGGCCGCCGGACAGAGCGAAGCTCTGTCGCCCATGATTGTGCAGGAAATCCATTTCTTACATGAACGCGGTCGCAAAATTGCTTGGTTTATCTTTCTGCAGAATATCGCCTCTGGGGTGTTCTTTGTTGTCTCAACTTACATGGTTTCTGCCTGGGGTTGGAGATGGTGGTACGGCTTTTTCAACATCATGAACGCATTGATCTTTGTTCTATCGGTGGTGTTCGTCACCGAGTCGCATTTCGAGCGATCCGAAGAGGCTATGCGAGGCGAGCCGCTTCCAGACACAAAAACCCTCTGTCCCCATGGCACTGAGGGCGGCGTTGAACAATACGAACCTCGCCGCTGGCGCGATGACCTCAAGCCCGTCGTCCTCCGTCCTCGGCTGCGTGATATCCCGACATTCTACAAACATGTTCTCCAGGGATTCCTTGTGCCAACGACACTCTGGCTCCTGCTGCTGAACGGTGCCAACCTTGGTGTCTATGTTTTCCAGGCTTCTACATTCGCAAGAATCCTCATGACTCCGCCTTACAGCTTTTCCTTCAATGCACTTGGATACGTCCAAGCTGGACAACTTGTTGACTGCCTGATCTTCCTTCCGCTTCTAGGTTATGGCTCTGATTGGGTTATCGGGACGCTGAGCCGTCGTTATAATGGTGGCCTCTACAAACCAGAGTATCGACTACCCGTCTTGGCAATCCCGGCTATTGTCGGTGTGATCTGTGCTCTCATATACGGGCAGGCCGCCGCAAATCCAGAAAAATGGAGTGTGGCATCCATTGTCATTGGTTATAATGCCAGTTACTTCGCCTTCCTGGGTGCAAATATCGTCGGAATTACGTATGCCGTCGACAGCTTTCCTTTCCGCGCTGCTCCTTTCTTAGTTGTTATCTGCGCTGGCCGAGGCTTAATCTCCTTTGGGTTGAGCTACGCCACTCTGCCTACTATTGCTACTCTTGGATATGGCAAAACGATGATCGTTGAGGCGGTTATCTGTGGTGTACTGGCCCTTCTTGCCATTCCAATGTTCTTTGTGGGACCTCGGATACGAAAATTCGTTCAGAGATGGTGCGATGACAATGACAAGGCGCAGTGATGTACTTTTCTGTGCAGTTTTGTGGTGATGTTGTCAATTATCATTTGGGGTTCATATGAATGTGGAGGACGTATGGGGGGCATATTTGCGGTGTAATTTGGCGCGTTATGGCGAACCCTCCAAGCGCCTTAATACATGGCCTATGGAATGGGGCTCGGGTTTCTGAATTCTCCTAGTATCTGGCCATTTGTAAATTGCTAGGAGCTGTCTCTTGGGCCTGCAGAAATCAAAATGAAGCCAGCTATTCTCCCTAACTAATAAGCGAGCGATCTTTCGAGAGAATACGAGATAGCTGGTAAAGTGAAAGCCTGCCTCTGCACTCCACAAGCTCAAGCTCCTCAACAGCTGCATCCAGAGACTGTCTTTTGACATGCTGAACAGATCAAGCGGTGAGAGGCGCTAATTCTTAAACGCCCAATTTGATTGAGATGGTTGGGGTTCAATATTTTTATCCTGTAGTCGACAAGACTTAGACCCTATGTAATAATGAATCACTTGTCCTCTTACTTTTTGGTTGAAGCGGAACTTTGACTATCCTGAGTGACGCTGTTATTACCAAGTTTCTCCAACCACCACGGCCGGGCATCTCGGTATAGAGACATGGACTACATATCGGAATGTGGGCATTGGGCTGCGCCGGTGAAATGCGACAGAGAACGGTAGCAAAAGTGTCGAGGTAACTGGAAGACCACAACCAATTAAAAAAAAAAAGGGAAAATGCGCATATTTTCTCTAGGATGCCGTGGTCATCAATACATCTGATCATGTGCCAGCCGGGCCGGGTCGCTTTAATTAAACCGAACCGGAAAGCCACCTGAACCGAACCGAGAGGTAGTCCATAACTTCTACAAACATTGAAACTTCGTTATAAAAACGATTGTTCAAGGTCGATTGAATAAATCCACAAAGCGATCGTTTCAAGCGAAGGGAACCGTTTCCACGAGAAATTTACCGAGATGGCTACAACTACGGACACCGCGACCTCTACCCGACTCTCAGCTTCGTCTGGAAGACTGTTCTCCGAGGGCACAAGTGTGCACTACGGTGACTTCCGTGACGACCTCCTTCAGAATGGTTATGCCGTGATCAAAGGCGCTGTTCCTCGTGATCGGGCACTGAAATATGCGGACGATATCTATGAGTGGCTGGAAGGCTTGTAAGCCATCTCTTACCTGATTAAAATACAGATCGATACTAAGCTGTGTAACAGCAACCTTGGCTTCAAAAGAGATGATCCTTCAACTATCCACAAAGATCACCTCCCCGAAATCAACGAGAAAGGAATGTGCTTGGGGTACGCAGTCTCACACGAGTCGTTTGCATGGGCCGTACGACAGGAGCCGGAGGTTATCAAGGCTTTTGAAAAGGTCTACGACACCGAAGATCTGATCGTTTCGTTTGACTCAGTCAATATTGGATTTCCAAACCGTACCGACATCAAGCCCAATAACCCATGGCCCCATCAGGACCAAGACCCCGAGAAGCCAGGTTTCCGTTGCTTGCAGGGGTTGGTGAATTTGCTTCCAAATGGACCCAAAGATGGCGGGTTGATCGTCTGCAAGGGAGCGCACTTGTTGTCAGAGGAATTTCATGAGGTTTTCAAGGATGAGGAGAGGGTGTGGTCTTGGTGAGTTTTACGACCTTTTTTAAATTGACTTCATATTAACGAAAGACAATAGGACAAAGGAGTGGTTCGGGTTTACTGAAGCCGGCCTGAAATGGTTGAAAGACAAAGGTTGCCAGTGGATCAAGGTCGAGGCAGAGCCTGGTGACCTGCTTCTCTGTAAGGATCTTTTATCTTGAATGACATTGGGTAGTTACTGATACCAAGCTAGGGGACTCACGCACTCCCCACTATAACCTGTCTTCCGAGACGTCCCAGCCGCGCTTTTGCGTGTACACTTGCTACATGCCGGTAGAGGATGCGACCAAGGAGCAGCTGCAGGTCAAGAAGATGGCCTTTGAGGAAACCAAAATGACAACTCACTGGCCGAACGCGATGCATGTAGTTGATCTGCCTGTCACCAGAAATGGGGAGCCTGATCCGTACCAGCGTTACAAGCCTCGTCAAGAGGTTCGACTTTCAGAGCGAGGATTTAAGCTCACGGGTATTCCTTATCTCGAGCAGATGGCATGAAATACTGTTGGAGGATATGTGAGCGTAAACTAGATCCAGATCACCATGTTGAAGACTCCAAATAAATATTCAATTTATCATTCATTCACTATGTTAGAACAAATGGCTTGAATCATTCAAATCCCATCCTGCCCAATCAAGAGCCGATGGGCCCCACGGTGAACTGAGCGACATAGCATTTGGTTCATCATCCATGAACAACTCGCTCAGAGCTGGACGTGTTGCACCTAAACTCGCAAGGTCGGGCGGTATCGGCGGTGTCTCAAGACACTGAGAACTGTATTGTACCAAGTCAAATAGAATATCATCAATGTTCTCTGCCATGCCATGCTTGTGGTAATGATCTTTCGTGATTTGCATAGCAGCCTTCATTAGCTGATACCAAGGAGTTAGTAGTTGGTGCAATATCCAGGAAAACACAACCCACCTCAAAGTCAGATCGGATTAGCAACGAGCGGTGTTCTCGAAAGATGTGCACTGCCAATGCGTATACTGCAGCCAGCGGGGACGCCATCGTGTTGAGGTAATTCGGCGTTCCAGAGTCCTCTAGTGAAACGAATAGTTTTACCATTTGGCGAGCAGCTTCAGCAACCGCTGCAGGCCCAGACAAAAGGCTCTGCTGCCATGGCTTTCCTGCAGCGTATTTGTTGACCATAGTATGTAGCTCCTCTTTGGGGACGAGAAGAGTAGATCGATTGACAAGAATGACCCTAGTAATAGGAAGTCAGTGGGCCCCTCAAAATTAAGAGAGTAGAAACCCACCCGAGGTTGTAATAGAACGAAAGAAATGCAAACTGGGGTCCATTGCTAAATTGGAGTGTAGGAGTAGATCCGGGCCTATGAACAAGATCAGTCAACTGTAGCAAAGAGTAAAGTAATTTCAAGACAAGCATACCTATACGCAGCGGGCAAGCTATCCTGCCAGCTAGCAAGCAAGAGGATTAATTCACCACCAGTTTGGAGCTTGTCCTCGATCGCCTGCTCTACTGACTGCAGCAACGACTCTTCGCGGCGCCACGCTCTAGCAGAGCGCTCCTGCATCTCGTGTAGCATGTTTGCCAAGCTAATTAACACGTTTCGGAACTGGTGTTCTGGTCCACCTTCCGAATCGACCTGAACCGAAGACGCCATAGTCTCAGATAGTTGACGATCCCATATGGTTGAAGGACGAGAGGTTTCAAGAGCGAGAAATTTCTCGAAAACATACATGCACCACCAGGTCCGGTATTCTGGCCCTTCGCATCCCGTGGCACTGGATTGAGAAGACTTGGTCTGATTGATTCCAATGGACTGGGCCATGGAAACACCCATTGTGAGGATGTCCCATGCCCATGCGATCTTATCACAGTTGCGAAGCACGATCACAAAGAGCAGAATAGCTTGCACCGATTCTAGGCGGCAAGAGGCAACAATATGTCCCAATAACGAATTGCAGTAGCTGATGTATGATGAAATCATCACCCTAGAGGCTTCGCTCGCAGGCATGGTCAACAAGCCAGAGGTCACTATGAGATATCTGAGAGCCTGGATAGGTGCATCTGAAACATGATGCATGGATATATCTTGCGGGTTGTGCGGGTCTGCATTGCAGATTGGCTCCAATGTGTCGCGGTCGAGAAAAGGGAATATTTGATGCAGGGTATTCCAATAATTATCAAGACAGGCCTGCCTTGTCTCCGATGTAGGTAATTCCGGCGCTTGAGCAGATATAAATGTCGCAAAATTTCGATTGGCCACTGGAGCAAGGGCATGTGTTTTCGGACCCTTGAGACGATAAAAGGCCATGTCAAGCCATTCCGTCATAAACTCCAACGTACTGGATCCCACAAAACGAGGCATCATCGGGAGCCGGCCCGTTTTCCATCCTTCCGGACCCCAGCATTGCGACCACAAACGCGGTCGATCTTGACCCGAAGGAGGGGGAATAGAAGAGGAATGTGACTCTGGAGTTCTCAGTGTTCTTTGTCCCCGTTGCGGCGCCGATCTAGTTGTGACGTGGTTCCAACTTTGGGATTGTGCTAAGGCACCAAACTGGGGTGCACTGGGAAGATCATGTCGCCTTCGATGCTCAACCGGCGCACCGTGTCGTCTTTTATCTGTGGTGATGCACTCAACGCCTGCGACCCGACAATTGCGGCACGGCTGTTCTTCATCGCAGCGAGTCTTCTTCTCGCGACAATAGTTGCACGCATAGCTCAGCCGTTTCCGCTTTGCACTCGATGTACTGGCAGGTTCATCCATGGAGGCTCAGATACTCAGGGAATGAAATGAAGGGCAGCGGAGGCTAGACCGGGGATGTCAGTAGTTCGTCCCTCCACATGCCGAGAGTTCCCTCAATCTGATTGGTCACTGTCAGTCAACAGAGTCGTATGTACCTTGGACGCCAGTTACCGTCACCCAGCGTTGTGCGGTAGTAGAAAAAGGTACGCATCTTCTTAGGGATAATTTTGTTGAGGTTACCAAAGACAACCAACTCTGATATGCATCGCCTACAAGCTGTGTCATGAAATCCTTTCTGGATATATATATCTCTACTTGACCTGCTCGAAATGGACCCGACTTGACTACCAGGCACAACCACTGCAAAAGAAGGCGCTAACATGCTGAATCCAGGCAATTTGGTCGGAGATACAATTCAAGGTAAGGCTAGAATAGAGAAGGAACACGACCGGACTCCATGTACATCGCACCTACACCGTTGTCACTACCGCCAGATTGTTCCTCCCCTTGGGGCCGGCGATTGATTTTGTGAAAAACAAAAACATTTGGAAAAAAAGCACAAGGGAGCGACAAGATAAGAAAAAAGGGCGAGGGACTCGCGGACCGAAAAATCGCAGAGAGAGAGAAAACGACCGACTCTATTCCACTAAAAATCGAGATTCCATTTTCAGGCTATCCGCTTGAGAATGCGAGTCCAATCCAACAACGCTTGCAATCCACCAGTGCCTCCATCCGGCCTTTTGATACACCAGGAACGTACGAGCGAAGACGAGTAGCAAAGCGCACGAGCTGGGATCCGTCAGTATCTACATGTTTTGATATTCTAGCCGAGGTGTTCACCTTAGAAGCACTTGCGGTGCACGATCGAGGGACCGCTCTCGTCGTACTCCTGCTTGGAGATCCACATCTGCTGGAAGGTCGACAGCGAGGCCAGGATGGAACCACCAATCCAGACGGAGTACTTGCGCTCGGGGGGAGCGATGATCTTGACCTTCATCGACGACGGAGCCAGCGCGGTGATCTCCTTCTGCATACGGTCGGAGATACCGGGGTACATGGTGGTACCACCAGACTAGAATTCATGTCAGCAACAAACCTCCTCAAAATGGGAGAAAGAAAGATCCCTACCATGACGATGTTGCCGTACAGATCCTTACGGACATCAACGTCACACTTCATGATGGAGTTGAAAGTGGTGACGTGGATACCGCCGCTCTCCAGACCCAGGACGTTGGGCTGGAACAGAGCCTCAGGAGCACGGAAGCGCTCGTTGCCAATGGTGATGACCTGGCCGTCGGGCAGCTCGTAGGACTTCTCCAGGGCGGAGCTCTGCGAGGAGGTCTGGATCTCCTGCTCGAAGTCAAGGGCGACGTAGCAGAGCTTCTCCTTGATGTCACGGACGATTTCACGCTCGGCGGTGGTAGAGAAGCTGTAGCCACGCTCCGCCAGGATCTTCATCAGGTAGTCCGTCAGGTCACGACCGGCCATGTCGACACGCGAGATGGCATGCGGCAGCGAGAAACCCTCGTAGATGGGGACCACGTGGGTAACACCGTCACCAGAGTCGAGCACGATACCGGTGGTACGACCGGAGGCGTACAGGGACAGCACGGCCTGGATGGAAACGTAGAAGGCGGGCGCGTTGAAGGTCTCGAACACGATCTGGGTCATCTTCTCGCGGTTGGACTTGGGGTTGATGGGAGCTTCGGTCAACAGGATGGGGTGCTCCTCGGGGGCGACACGGAGCTCGTTGTAGAAGGTGTGGTGCCAGATCTTCTCCATGTCATCCCAGTTGGTGACGACACCGTGCTCGATGGGGTAGCGGAGCGTGAGAATACCACGCTTCGACTGTGCCTCATCACCGACGTACGAGTCCTTCTGACCCATGCCAATCATGATACTACAGCCATGTCAGCTTTCGCTCGCTGGGCCCCAAAATGGCAGGAAGGTGAAGAATTTACCCATGATGACGGGGGCGACCGACAATGGACGCTATTGCATGTCAGTAAATCGTGCAAGTGGGGAATGATATCCGACGCAAGGGTTGGTGGGATGGCGACCCTAGCAAGGAGGAGGGGGTGGGAAAGGATCAGGCTGTGGGGTCTTGGACTTACGGAAGACAGCTCGTGGTGCGTCGTCACCGGCGAAACCGGCCTTGCACATACCCGAACTGGAAGCAATTCATCAGTACGAGTTCCCATCTGAGGCGTAGCGATGGCATTGAGATGAATCTCAAGTGCCGGGGGTAGGTGGCGGGTGAGAGGGGGGCAGCGCGACCGGGTTGGCGACGAGCCCCCTAAAACAGCGGATTCAAATCCATCACGTACCCATTGTCGATAACGAGAGCAGCGACTTCCTCTGTTGGAGTTGAAATGCATTAGCCAAGGGTCGCAATGTCAGGCGGCCAGAAAGACCGAGGTGGCCACAGTAGGGGAGACCGGTCGGAGAGAGGAGGGGGGTGGGATGATGGTGGGAGCGAGAGTGGGAACGGGAGAGGTGGCCACAACAAACAAAGGGCGGGCAGCTTACCTTCCATGGTGAAGATTGAAGTAGAGAACTAAACGAGATGGAGAAGGAAGATAGAGGAATGGGGGAGAGAGGATTTGATGGGAAGAAGAGTAGAAGGGAGGAAGAAAGAGAGAGAGAGAGGAAGAGGGAAGAAAGTGGGGAGAGATGGCTGGTTGGGTTGGGTGTGTGCGCGAGGATTCGTTAGTACAGTTAGGCACGACTACAAGGCCCTGCGTATACTACATACATCCTCCCTACTATTACTCTGCCATCGTTTCTTCTATCGTGACGGCCGTACTATTTTTCAAGGCAGCACTAATCATGTTTCTTCGCAGCCTATTCTCGTCCCTCCCACCGTCCCTGGGAGCTGACGTATGCCGCCCACTGCCAACCTCCAGGTGTCCACGGTCAACCCACCCAGAGGGACCCTCTATGAGGCTCCATCCATGATTTAATTAGGCCCCGACGTTCGCCCTAGTTATCTGACAAACTCCTCCCCATCGGCCGTCTGCCTGCCCAAACATTGTTTTGACGCATGTGGCGCAGCATAGAGGATTGTAGCCTCAGGCAGCAATGCCAACGTGTTTCCATGAATAGAGCTGCTCCACCAGTGCTGAACGGGAGAAACGAGTCAAAATCAGCGGGTGGATGGAATTGGGCTCCAGAACACACAGAGACAACCAAGCTAGCCGACAATCTGCGGTCTGGCAATCATTTTGGTTACCGCCATTTCGGCTGATATCAAGGCAGTCTAGACTGAAGGTCGGTGAGCGCATTGATGCCTGAGGCATTAAGTTTCGGCCTCAGGCAGAAAAGAACCCGCTGGGCGCCGCACGAATCGTCCATCCATTACCTAAGACATCCCACCTCGCCGCGGAGCTGTATAAATTTATTTTCTTCTTCGACACTTACCCCAACAACAATTCCCCATTATTTCAAGTCGCCACCATTTTGGTTTTGACTCTCCCGGACTCGACACAATGGACCCCCAAATGAACAAGCTCCTCAAATGGAGCGTGCAAAACTCCCAGAATGCAGACGGCTCCCCCGATGCCCCCGCCAGTGCGCGCAACCTGACCCCGGACATGATCAACGCTCTGTTTGGCGGACCCTCCGAGGCCGATCTGATGAAGGCCGCCATGGAGGTGCTGCACTCTGACGACTCCGACCTGGAGAACAAGTTGATCGCCTTTGACAACTTCGAGCAAATGATCGAGTCCATTGACAATGCGAACAATCTGGAGCCACTGGGCCTGTGGTCCCCCTTGACCCAACTACTGCAGCATGAGGAGGCGGACATCCGTCGTATGGCCGCCTGGTGTGTCGGGACGGCGGTGCAGAATAATGAGAAGGCGCAGGATAAGGTATGTACTTCTGGTCTCCGAATCGTTTATTTTTGAATGGAGGATAATTGACAGATTATGTGACAGCTCGTCGTGCTGAATGTTATTCCTACGCTCGTGAACATGTCGACTACGGACCCCAACCCGGCTGCGCGCAAGAAGGCTGTGTATGCGCTTTCGTCGGCAGTGCGCAATTACCAGCCTGGCATGAACGAATTGGTCAAGCATCTCCCAGAGGGCTACCCGAGTGATAAGGCAGACGCGGGTGATATGGAGGCGGTGGATGCAATCATGGATAAGCTGCGATCTCACCCGGTCGAGTCTTCGTGAACGGTGCCTGTGGGACACCGCATCTAGACTCTAATGGAACACGACCCATAATTATCAGATTCCTGATGTGCACGCCCTCTGGACGTGACCTGGGGGCTGATGCAAAGGGCATTGGTACGGGGAGACTGGTCCTAGCGCCCTCGGATGCTGTGGACTACGCACGTCCGTGACAAATCCAGACGATAGGATGTCTGACGGGATCATCTGATGTGGTGATACTTGGCAAGGGCCGCGAGAGTTTACTAGGCCCTCTTTTGCAGGTCATATCTGTCGTGCAGCCTACCAGAGGAGGCGGAAGAGTGATTCGACCTGTATTATTGTATATAAATCATATCCCTACTATCTCACGAAGTGATCATGAGAAATGCCATTATGGAATTAATGTTAAGATTGAAGTTCAATTAATCCTTGCTGCCTGTCCTTCCCTTCGGCTGATATACATCTGGGACTTGGCCGGTGAAACATTAGTCCGGCCTGTCGTCATGTTCACCCCGTAGCTCTCCCGATCTCTCTCTCTGTTGTCACCTCACTGCTCGTTCCCTGACCTCCCTTCCATATTCTCTCGTCAACTTCCAATATGGACTCCACCAACAACCGTCTGTTCCGTTTCTCCAAGCCTGAGTGGCTGAACAACGCCGCCGTTCGTAACGCTGGCGTGTCCGTCGCCGGCGCGCTGGTAAGTGATCCCCCACAGCAGACCAGCCCGACCGACCAGTGTGCACCGGCATGCTCGCGCAATGGTCGCACACTGGCCACCCTCCCTTTTATCTGCTTGCATGGACGAAATAAACATTCAAAAGATGAAACAAGAACTAATGATGAGCGATTGCGCAGTTCGCCGTGGGATTCTTCTTCATGATCGATGCTGCGTCGTTCTCGCACAGCGCCCGCAATGGCTCTGACGTGCACGTCATGTTTGTCGACTGGATCCCCTTCATCTTCTCCTCGATCGGCATGCTCGTGATCAACTCCATCGAAAAGTCCCGTCTGCAGGCCGACAGCTTCAGCTACAGCGGCAGCGGTGTTGCCTGGAAGGCCCGCTTCGTCCTGTTCCTTGGGTTTTCCATGCTGGCCGGTGGTCTCGCAGGTAGTGTGGTACGCTTCCTTTCCTATCTGTCTTCCTTCTTGACCTACACCCTCATCCATTGCATCGTATGGGCCATGGGAGTCCCTTCCAAACTGGTCTTTTTGTCTTGCTTTCTGCCACAGTGCTTGCTTTCCTGCATTGTGTTCTGTTCTCCGGATCTTTTCCCTGCCTCTGACCATGTCAATCACATCGTCTGGATGCATCCCTTTCACTCTCTCTTCTCTATCCTTCTTGTCAACCTTGCCTCCAGATTCAAGTACACGTCCTCTCCTTTCTTCAAGCTCTTTATCGCTGGTGTTGTCGCCACTGCTGCACTCACAAATGTCGTACCTTGTGGAAGGTATACAGTCGATGTGCTTGCCTTGCTTGGTTTGGTTGTCTCTACCGATATCGCTGGCTGGGTCTATCGTAAACACCTCCACACTGTCAGGGCTGAACACACCGTGATGGCTGCATTGCCCCTCGGGCAGCCTCTCTGATCAACGAGAGGAACAATCCCCCTATTTTGCCTTTGTCTTTTTTTTTTCCAGCCACAGTTGCGACCAGATCACCCAGGATTTCTCTTTTCTCCATTTTTCTTTTCTCGCACTATCGTCACACATCCCAGAATTGAACCTCAGGCTAACCGTTTTGTCCCTGGATCCCCTCGCAGACGGTTATGGTCCTCAAATATCTCATCAAGGATTACCCGATTCAGACTCTCTACTTCGGAATCGCCAATGTCATTGCCAATGCTTTGACCATGCTCAGGTATGTTCTCTATTCTTTTTCTTGCCCCATGGCATAGAGACTAATATACTCGACTAGCACTGTTGTGCTGTGGGTATCACAAAACATCGAAGATGACTACACTTACAACCTTGCTCTATGATATGATACGGTGGAGATTCCGTTTGAGTTGGGTGTACTGTATTTGCTTTTGTCCCATGGGGGGATTGCACATCTTCTGAGCCTTTAGCAACAATTGATATCTTTCATCGTCATCCATTCTATTGATCATCCCTAGGCTACTGTAGGTAATATCTTGATCCAATCAGACGACCCGCCAAAAGAGGGAGGAACAATTTATGTCCCAAAGGGTCACTCGTCGCCTGACGAGATACGAATGAAGCAGAGGTCTGCCTCTACTGTATCCGGCTGAAAACCTACTCGTGTATCCAAGGTCTGCTAGTAGAGCCTCTTTCCTTTCTTATGTTCACCATCATGACCGGCTCTTATCGGGAGTTGCGCTAGCTACGACAATATAGACTACCCTACAGCGAAGATTCTTGCAGACCACCGCGGACTTTGCACTTGCCGATTTGCACTGCTGATCTTAGTCCTGATCTAGCAGCCGCGGCACTTCCCACACAGCCTTGAAACGCAGTCTCCTGCACAAGGATAGGTGTAGCACGCAATATCCTAATCTACCGTCGATTGTCGCTCAGCGCTTTTGGTCTTTTGAGAAACATTGAACCCGATCCTGATATACCTTAACTTGGCCACAGCTTTTGATACTCGTGCGTTCGCTCGCTCATTACTCGATCGACTCCCTGACTATTGTCCATACGATAACAAACGACTTCATGATTCAATCAATGCAGCCTTGCAGGATCCAAAGTGGCTGACGCACGAACGGTATTAAAGTTTAGGTCGTGGCTTGTCTTAGCTTAGTGTTATCAGATTGCCAACAGTAATAAGCCTCAGGCGAATCATTAGCCCCATATATATAGGCATATCTCACGCTTTCGCACATATTACTGTATATAGTAGAGGTGGTCCGGAGTAGGAGACATATAAAGCTGGCTTTGCCATTTTACGATCTCTTCTTCCTACTCTTTCCCCCATCCCTCTGATTCCCTATCTCTACCATCAATATGCGCTTCGCACTTGCCACATTCACCCTCAACCTCCAACAGTCTGGGCCCGGTCCGACTATGGTTCCACGTGCCGCCCTAGTTGCCAAATTATGTGTGTTGTATACGGAGATGACGCCGGGGATCTAAGGCTGACTTCCCTATTAGCACTCCCCCTGTTCTCATCCCTCTGCGTCACCATTAGAATTACGAGATACCGTTCGACACCATGACCAAGTAGCTAGCTAACAGTACTGTTTTGATTTGTAGGCTATGTAACGATTAATGAGCGACAAGTAACACTTTGGTTCGAACCTAGTATTGAACTGAATTCCAAAAAAAGCAAGCAAACTGGTTGGTGTTGAATCCTTCCAAGTTGGTCCAATATTTCCGGCGGGAGGTTGGTCAAAGGACCACTCCAGTCCGGTTGCCAGAACAAGCGCTCTTCTCATTCTAGCACACGGCTCCACCTTGGTCGGTACCGTGGCACGAGGCACTGCCACAGTCTTGAATCTCTGTCCAATAGCCACCTTCGCATTGGACCTTTTTCACAGAAATACACATTAGCAAAGATAGTCTGTTATTTCAACCTGGATATGTTTACATACCACATCTGTCCTATCGCAACCGCAGAAATGCCTGTCTCCGTTCGAAGCTTCACAAGGACTATTCGTACGTCTTTGGTCACTACCATAGCCGGCGCCGCAGGTGTCCAGGACCTTTCGTTCAAAGACGGCTGAAGCACTGACGGCGGTGGCAGCCATAAGAGTGCAGAGGATAGCTGTAACCTTCATTTTGGAAGAGGTGTTGTTGTATATTGAAACGAAGTGTTTTTGATTGAGGCTTTTGATTGTTCAAGAAGGATTGATGTCCAAGAGTATGAATTCTTGGAAGAGATAATTTGATGTATTTATACTTCTTCGAGACGAATGCCAAGTCGTCTTCCTGGTCTAATTACCTAAGAGTTAACCTCAGGTATGAGCTGTTTGATCCATGGCAAGGCCCCCAGTGCTGAATGCAAGTAAAGCATCCGTTAATATTATAGGCAATGAGGTTCAAGATGCCTGTAAACTACAGCAGTGGATGCCTGTCACATTTGCAACCCCGATCCGATTGGGTGGCCTCACTAAACCCAAATAGGTAACTGTTTCGATCGCATGTACCTTTTGCGGGTTTACCTGCGGTCGATCCCTGCTGCTAGGCGGTTTGGACTCATCAATCTCTTCTCCACCGAGCTGAGTACTATCTTCTGCCTTTAGTCACGCGACTAATCACCATGGCCTATAGAGAGAAACCTAGCCTCGTGTCAGGCTTGGCACATCAAAGTATGCGACGAGTCGACTTGGATTAGGCCGCTTATACAAATAGTGCGACGAGCCATAATATTCGTGCACCTAGTCCCTCCGTCTAAAATTAGAATTCTATGAGGATCAAGATCTTATAGCCCTTCGGTTCTATGACCGAAGCGAGGATGTTATCGGATGGCCTAGCCAGGGCATCCCCTCACTCTGGAACGATCAAGCCTGTCTTCTTTAGGTAATTAGGTCTCGGTCTAGAGGAAGAATGTGAAGGTAAGCTGAGAGATTTAGCTTAAACAGGAACTCCTTTCGAGCTGCATATCACAGTATGCCAAGAGACTTCGTCACAACCTCGTGTGCGGGTTGCCTGTGACGAGCTGGCTCAAGATGAGCAAATGACCGCAAGCAGGCAGCATATCTTCGAAAACAAGAAGGCACTATCGTAAAAGGCATGGCTGGCCTTGCATACAACATGCAACACCATTGAGACTGTAAGACATCTTGCGCCAATGAATACGGCCGAATACACTGCCTTGAGATATTCGACAGCTGCATGACCTGAGGACTAAACCGGAAGACAAACAGTTGATCGTTCGCCGCTGAGCGAAGTCAGATCTGCCAATCCTCTTGGCGTGTTCCACGAGCATATGACCCGTGCAGGAAGATGAGCCTGAGATGGCATGTCGACTGTGCATAATGATCTTCATAAAGGAGATTGTATGTAGGAAAACGGGATATGCTAGTTAGCAGGGCTCTTATAGTAAGCGACAACAGAACAATGGAGTATACGAAGTGATCAACGGCAGCAAAATGGTGTGTAATGGTGGGAATTATACAGGTTAGATATTTCCAAAGGAACGCGATATAGTACTGTAGAGGTTCTCTCTCTTTCTCCAAAACCAAAGATGGCTCAAAAAATGGCTTAAAAACCATCTTCGTAATATGTGTTGAGCACGACCCGGCTAGAAAAATTTTTAAGAGACTTTCTAGCGGTAATAAAAAGAGCATAGAGTGATGGGGATGATATCCTTCGACCTTATGAAGAAGAACTTGAAAATGTTTCTTACGTGCTTTACAACTCGCAATACGGTCAATTATTTCCTCTCTTACTCGTCATTAGCTCCCACTCATTCAAGGTAGAAAGTAGCAGCTCCTCATAAATTAGGAGAGAAGTTTTCAATTCAATCCTTTCAATGTGCTTTTCTCGAATGCTTTGTCTGTTGCGACTCTTTTGAAGCAAACGAAAAGGGAGCAGGTCATCGGTTAAGGAAGTTTGGCAAAGGGTAATAGAGGGCGTGCGATTTATAAATTCCCACCAAGTTCACAGGGCGAACTTCTAATTCCACAAACAATGTCGGGGGTCGGCTAGAAAGTTCAAAATCAGGGGAAACGGGACGGATGGTGCCTGACCCGGGGGCCAGTCCAAGAGCGGGGTCCGGGGGAATGGCCCACTTTGAACTGCACGTATGTTGGGGAAAAGCGCTTTGCCGATGAATAATCTTTCTATACCTGATACGCTCCCTAGGTAACAATTACCCAGACTGGTCGGGGCTTGTCGCTCATCTTTGCTGCTTAGCAGCACAAACTCCCGAAGTTTCCGTTACTGGTAGGGAAACAGGAAGCAAAAGTGTATTAAATTCGAGTCATCTGGGAATAATGCTAAATTCTTCTTGGTAAAAGAGAGAGCAGAATATAATTACCAGTAATACTGAGCCCTCCGGTACGCCCTGCCCAATCTCCGGGGATCGCCCCCTTTGGTGATGAACATTCAGATTTTGAGCGGGCTTAGAAGCAACACTGTTGTAGGTTACACAACCGGCTACTGCAGCTGCCGTGAGGTTCATCTGTATACAGTATTTATGCAGTACACAACGCTGAGGATTTTATAATATATGGGTAGCTTGTTATTCCCCGGATTTAGGTTATAAAATCGGCATGTGTAGCTGCCGTTGGGGCTGGGGTATTATACGGTATTCACGTAATCTATTAAACACCGAGGCCCTTCCGTCTATTGGGCCATTTCCTACTGCCCCATTAAATAGGAGGTAAATCCTCGTCTGGATGTTCTTAGAAAAATAACTCCAAACTGAAGATATTTGCGAAACCATTGGATCAATATGTTTTTACTGCTCCTTTTTGTCCAGCTCGTCACATGTTCGGCCGCCGACCATTTTAAAACTGCATGCTCTGCGCTGCAGCATCATATAAACCTACCCAATGTTACCGTCAATTTTGCCGAGTTTGTGCCGGCCAAGTCTAATATTTCATTGATTGACAATCCTGTGTCATGTGGCCAAAGTTATCAGACACTTCTGGGTGGTGACATATGTCGCGTTGCCATGTCGATTACAACATCGGATCGGAGCGGGCTCACGGCAGAGATGTGGCTTCCTAGAGATTATACTGGGAGATTCTTGAGCACAGGGAATGGTGGTCTAGCTGGATGTATACACACCTTTCTCAAACACATTGGGTTATTCATTTGCTGATCCAGCGACAACTAGGTATTCAGTATCAGGATATGGCATATGGCACCATGTTAGGCTTTGCTACAGTAGGTGCAAACAATGGTCACAATGGTACTTCTGGTGCAGCGTTCCTCAACAACCCCGAAGTTTTGGCAGACTTTGCATACCGCTCCTTGCACACCGGGGTAGTGGTTGGGAAAAAGATCACTACCGAATTCTACCCGGAGGGATACAAAAAGTCATACTACCTCGGCTGCTCTACTGGAGGTCGTGAGGGATGGAAATCTGTCCAAAGGTTCCCTCGAGACTTTGATGGCGTGGTCGCTGGCTCACCAGCTTTCAACTTCGTGAATCTCAATTCTTGGGGTCTATACCTCAATAACATCACCGGCCCCATGGGCTCTCCCACCTCCCTGACCGAGGTCCAATGGACAGCTGTTCAGAAGGAAGTAATTCGGCAGTGCGATGGTATTGATGGTGCTCTGGATGGACTCATTGAAGACCCATCTCTGTGTCAGCCTATTTTGGAGACGCTTATTTGCACACCTAAAGCAAACAGAACCACCTGCCTTACTGGGACTCAGGCCAATTCTGTCCGCCAGGTCCTGAGCCCTTTCTATGGCCCTGATGGTACACTGTACTATCCTCAAATGAATCCTGGAGTTGAGGCAAGTTCCTTTGGCCTATACTATAATGGCCTCCCACCATTATACCCAGCTCAGTGGTACCAAGATGTTGTGCTTAGCAACCCGAATTGGGACTACACTACTTGGACACTCGATGATGCCGCTGTTGCTCTGGCCCAAAACCCATTTGATATCGAAACGTACGACGCCAATATCGCAGAGTTCCAAAATGTTGGTGGCCGGGTTTTGCATTACCATGGCATGCAAGATCCGTTGATTAGCTCCGAGAGCTCAAAGTTGTACTATCGGAAAGTGGCTGAGTCGATGAATTTGGCCCCGTCTGAGTTGGATGAGTTTTATCGCTTCTTCACGATCAGTGGAATGTCACATTGCGCCCCAGGCACGGGGCCATCTTATATAGGCCAAGGTATTGGCACATATGTGAGCAGTGACCCGGAAGACAATGTCTTGATGGCGATGGTGAAATGGGTAGAGGAAGGTATTGCACCAGAGACAGTACGGGGATCGACGATGAAAGATAACAAGGTGGAATATCGAAGACGGCATTGTCGGTATCCGAAGCGAAATGTCTACAAGGGACCGGGTGGTTATGAAGATGAAAACGCCTGGGAGTGTATCTGAGCCTCTGCAAGATTTGAGATTGAAGATTAGTATTGGCTAGGATTCTTGGAGATCTATATTTACGTATTTTGAACTAAGTCTGCCAAGATTGACCTCATCTAGTGTATGTTCGGTTCCGGTTTCTGGACCTTAATATGGCCCTCATTCTGTCTATAGTATCAAGGCGCCGTCGGCCTCTCAATACAATCATTCCTATCCTATAGGTCTTGCGAATGATTTGTGTCACCATTTACTCGACTTCGGGCTAGAAGATGCCAAGACAATGCACCATTCAAGACGATTGGAATGGATCAATGAATCCCACAGAAGTAATCTCATCAGCATGGTGATAAGCCATAGGAAACTATGAAAGTTATGACCTGCACCTAGTGCCAATTTAATAATAGATATTTTATTCTTCTATCACCTAAAGTAGAAGTGAAACACGCGAAGTGTACCAAAGTTCTATCCGCACGGAATTCTTACCACAGTCCTGGAAGGGTATGTGGAGATCGGCCAGTTCCGCTTCCGAACCAGACTTCTTCAAGTGAGATTGAATTGAGTTTAAATGTTTCAAAAACTCTCTGAAGCGAACCGTAGATCGACATCACCGCACACCTAATCTGTCAACGGTGGGCCCAAGTTGCGTGGCAAGGTTACCATCGCTTGTAGATATATTTCTCTTCAGGCAGCAAGAAATAGAATCAACATAGAACGGGATGCAACATATAGTGGAAGTCTTTCCTCCTCTAGTGGAATCTATCTATCCCAATTCTACTATTGATCCTTCAATATGAAGCTCACCTTGGGCCGTTACTTCTTTGCTCTAAGCATCAGCACCACCCAAGTCCTCGCATCTCTATCTCAATGGCTCTACACAAGCGAAATCAACGACGAAGCCATCTCCCTCCTAGACCGTCCCGAAATCCACGGCATCCAAAACCTCTACACGTGGAAATCCCTCGAACCCCAGGAAGACCAATACGACTTCTCCGCCATAGCACACGACCTCAACCTCACCCGCTCCAAGGGCAAGCACCTCTGGGTCCAGATCCAGGATCGCAGCTTCAGTCTTGAGTTCGACCCTGTCCCGCGCTATCTCCACAAGCCAATTTACAACAACGGCAGCGTTCCCCAATGCGATGGAGATGACTGCGATAGCAACTTCGTGGCCGGGGGTTGGGCCGCGGCGCAGTGGAATCCTCACGTCCGTGAGAGATTCCAGCATCTATTGAAAGCTTTAGCGGATAGATTCGACGGACAAGTCTACGGGTTCAATCTTCCCGAGACATCCATCGAAGTCCAGTCCAACAATACCGCCTCGGGATATACATGCCAAGGCTATTTTGAAGGAACGCTCGACAACGCTGGCTACTTAGCCAGCGTATTCTCCCGCTCCTACGCAGTGCAATACGTCAATTTCTGGCCGTGTGGTTGGGCAAATGCCCGCGACTACATGTCCACTTCGTTCCATTTCTTTGCGGATCATGGCGTCGGCATCGGCGGGCCGGATAATATCCCCTTCAAGACGACTATGGAGAGCAATGCGTATCCCTATATGTCTAAGTATAGGCATAGGGTGCCGATTAATGTTGTCTCCGTACAGGAGCCCGACCTGGCGGCGATTAACCCGAACACGAGCAAGCCGTTCACAAAAGAGGAGTTCATGAGTTTTGCTGAGAAGGAGCTGGGTTCGCAGATTTTGTTTTGGGCTCTTTCTACGCCGTGGTTGCATCAGTAAATTGCGCAGGACATGAATGGTCTCGTTATGTATAATTAGATTCTTCGTTGACTTTTACCATCTGTGAGGCTCTTTGGGCGTATAATAGTATCGTTTGAAAACATATTATCTTGCTCATAAATGTCCTCGAGAGGTTTAGTTCAGCTATCCCACGACGCCGTGTTAAGAATGAAAATGCTAAACATGCTAACAAAGACCAACGCCGAGCCCAAATCTCATGCATCGTGTAGACAGGCCATCATCACAAAATCATCCACTGCTTAATGCTCCTCACAGAACAAGCGCAGTAATTCATCGATACAAGTCATAGCCTTCTCCTTTTGCAAAACCGCTGGCGCAGTCCCCGGAACAGCAGACAGCGGTTCCTTCAAGAACTTGCGCAGTGCAAAAGCTGCCGCTTTATATGTGGCGTGGTACATAGCCTTGAACTCATCGTCATCCGACGGGACAGTTGGAGCGGGAGTCTCTGCGCGCATGCCCTCAGCTGGAGTGTCGAGTTCGGGATCTGTTGCGCCCAAAGCAGGTCTGGTTGAGGCAGCTCGCATGGACGCGCGATGGAAGCCGTAGAGTCGCATGCAAGTCAATACGGTGCGGGTGATAAGGCTCTTGTTCTCGGCGATGACAGTCTCAGGGTCCTTGGACGGCGAGCTGGGGGAGGAGAGCAAGCGTTTCTCTTCCGCAGATAACGAAGAGGATTGCAGTTGTATTTGTTGCGAGCCGCGACGAGCATTGTGCTCGAGGAAAGGATTTGGGGTTGGTGCGCGTTTCTGTGGATCCGCGTTGACTCCGGGTGTTGCTCTCGAGCCTCGAACGCTACCTGGACGATGCAGTCCCGCCCCGATAGACATGGAGCGGGATCTATGCGCGGCGATGCGGTCCAAGGGTGGCCCGTTTTCTTCTGGTTCGCGCTTTATGCGGAGGGACTGCAGGTTCTGTGATGACGAGGAAAGCGGGCGCGCGTGTGCCATCAGCTGGGAGACCCCCTCGCCGCCCTTCTGCCGTACCCGACGATGGTGTTGTGCCGCAACCTCAAATAGGCTCGCGACCCGCTTGCGTTTCGGGCTGGGCGAGCTGATATCCGGCAGAAACTCCGCGCAACGGGTATGTTGATGTTGTTCCTCATCGGAACAGGGTGGGGGAGAGGGGAAGGCTTGCACCTGTGTGAGAAGCGATGTAGATAGCGGAGCCGCGTAGATCCTCAGCTCATGCGGACTGATTGAAGGTGTACGGCCGTCCACCTCGGATGGTGACGAGTGCGGCGGGGTAGGTGGACGCGCACAAGCGGATGCGCCAGACAACACGCCGTAGATCAAGAGGTCCGTGGTGACCGCGCCGGAAGTTTTCTTGGTTGTGGTGCCCTCGACGCTGACCAGCAGGCCGACAGGGCATTGGAGGGACCGGTGGAGGTCTAATTCGTCATCGTTTAACCAGATCGCGCTGGTCAGTTTGCTCTGGAGCCATTGTGATGATTCCGCGTTGGACGTGTGAAACTCGAGATTGGGGCCGATTCGCGCGTGAAGTGGGATAAGGGCGGGATCCACGAAGCTCCGAAGTCTCAGTTTGGCCTCTTTGGAGATGTCGGATTGCCAGTGGGAGGTCGGGTCGACCAAACGGATCCCTAATGAAGGTCAGCGAGAAACACGGGCGAGACGCGTTGGGTGGTTTACCTTCCAACTGGAGATCGGGATCTAAGGTGACCGATCCGGACCAGATGTTCATTGTTGGTTAATTGCAGCATTCACATATTCAGTTGGATGTGTCAATAATAATCCCCGGCCGCGTTCTGATCGACGCGATGGGTGGCACGTCACACGTGACTAGTTATACACCCGCGACTAGAGTAATGGAGATGCAGAAAACAGGCTTAAGATAACGATAATCGCATGCAGTGGTCCTAGATTCCCCAGTGCCACTCTATATGTCCGCCATGTTATAGTACACGCAGAGAATCACAGCCAAAGCGGGCGTTGCAGCCATCGAGAAACAGGAACCGAGGCAAAGCCGTCCCCGACCCTCGTACAAAGGCAGCTCAAGCATCCATCGCAACGGGCCATAAAAAAAGAGAAGCAATATCATAGTTGTAAAAGAATATCCCTTGCGACCAGCGGCATCGTCAAGCCCGGCGGAACTTCCCAACCCAAAGATCAAACGTTCCCCGATCAGAATTCCTCCTCCTCCTGGAAAAACATCGAAAAGCTGATAATGGTGCCGTAGATCAGCAACCCTCCGAGAATCGACATGATCATGGCCGGGATTTCAATTGCGCCGCTGTGCGCCAGGACGGCGGGGAGTGCTGAGTGACGGTGTTAGCGAAAGATGCGAAAGGGCAACAATTCAACAACGGCATTGAGGACAGTCTAGTAGACGATAGTACATCTGCCCAGGAATTTCCAAACGGGCCAAGCTCGAGGACCCCGCGAGAGGGCAAAAGGGAAAAGCGAAGCAGGCAGCAACTCACCAATACCCGTCAAGACCAGGAATCCGGTCATGAACCGCCCAAAGTCCATAGCCGAGTTACTCGAGCTATCCATGAAATCATCTGGGTTTCCGCATCGTGCGCAGATCCAGTTCGGCAGGGGCGCAATCACATAGATGGCGACGACCAGCAGCGGCCAGTACTTGTGCCAGAGGGCGGAGGAGAGAATGACGAGGAGAAAACCGATAGCAAGGACCTGCATGTTATCAGAATGAGTTCTCAAGTAGTCCTAATGTGGTTGTTGCTCTGTGTGTACGTACGAACGAAAGCGCGATGATGGTCTTGAGTCCAGCCGCCATGATTGCGGAGAGGCCTAGGTTGGCTGACAGTCAAGAAAAACGGGGGTGGTGTGGATGCTGAAGAGGCTAGACGGGGGAACACAGGGATTGTTATGCCCCCATTGGCAGGAATCTGGCGGGGAAGAGGGAATGGGAAAGACAAAGATGGTGGAAGCGCAAGTGACGTTGGCTGACAACTAAACGGGGTCACTGGGCCTGCGTGGTGCCTGAGGCCGCCACAGCTCACTCACCGCGTCACGTTGCCTGCCTGCAGCTCTCCCAGCTCATCTTCCCTTCTATCGTCTTCCTTGTCCTCCTGCCGCCCACCACTTTTCCATTGACCCCGTCTACGCATCTCCTTCGCCATGTTCCGCAACAACTACGACAATGATGCCGTCACCTTGTAATCCACTCCCCATGACCATCCCCCTGCTCGGATCTAGTCCAGCTGCTAATTCAGGCACAGCTCTCCACAGGGCCGGATATTCCAGGTGGAGTATGCACAGGAAGCAGTGAAGCAAGGATCCGTGGTAGTTGGCCTGGTGAATAAGACACACTCCGTGCTGGTCGGTCTGAAGGTGGGATATTCTCGATAACTTCTTCCATCCCATCCTCGGAAAGCTGACGGACCACATCAAACAGCGCAACGCAGAAGAACTCTCCTCCTACCAGAAGAAAATCATCGAGATCGACTCGCACATGGCAGTGGCCATTGCCGGGCTCGCCTCGGACGCCCGCGTGCTCTCCAACTTCATGAAGCAGCAATCCCTCAGTTCGAAGATGACCTACGGCCGCCCGATCCCGCTGGACCGCATCGTCACCCAGATCGGCGATCGTGCGCAGACCAACACGCAACAATACGGGAAACGGCCGTACGGCGTCGGACTACTGGTCGCCGGCGTGGACGCGGCCGGCCCGCACCTGTTCGAGTTCCAGCCCTCGGGCCTGACGCACGAGATGCAGGCCTGTGCTATTGGGGCGCGCTCGCAGATGGCTCGCACGTATCTTGAGCGGAATCTGGACAAGTTTGCCGACTGTTCTCGTGATGAGCTGGTGACCCATGGCCTGCGGGCGCTCAAGGAGACCCTCTCCCAGGATAAGGAGCTCACGATGGAAAATACCTCTGTCGGGGTGGTGGGGCTGGGTGCGAACGGGAAGACGGAGACCTTCAAGCTGTACGAGGGTCAGGATGCGGTGCCGCTGCTGGAGGCGCTGGAGCAAGCGGACTCGGCTGGCGCGGGCGAGGGCGAGTCGATGGAGGTTGATTCATGATTGTGTTTATTGTTTTACTGAGTTAATGATCTGCGATAGACATGAAGAAAGGTGTCTTGATTGATCTTGGATTTATTCGTAGTGTTTATAAACTATCTACATATTTACTCCTGCCCCCAGTTCAGCTGCATCCGCCCATTGCTCACCCGATACTCCAACAGCTTCGGCCACACCTCCTTCGGGCAGCGCGCCTCCGCTAGGATCTCGCCATTGTCCGCACTGATAAACCCCTGCGCAACGGCATTGCGCACCCAGCTCAGCAGGCCATCCCAGTACCCGTCGATGTTCAACAACACCACACCCACCCTGTGGATGCCCAGCTGGTTCCACGTCGTCATCTCCATCACCTCCTCGATGGTCCCGAACCCGCCCGCCAGCGAGACAAACCCAGACCCGGCCCCGCCCTCCAGCACCATGGTGGCCATCATACGCTTGCGCGTGTGCATGTCCGGCACGATGGTGGTTATACCGTACTCGGACTCCGGAATGCCGTCGTCCAGGGTGTCATCCGACACCACGCGCTCGGCAGCTTTGCCCTCGCCCTCAGCCGCGGCGGGCTGGGGGGGGCCATGAATATTTCCGGTCCTGGCCCCGTTCTTCTTGTTGGATATCTTCACCAGCGCCCGCGGGATCACGCCGTGCACTGCTTTCGGGCCCGAGAGCGAGACCAGCGTCCGGGCTACCTCGCCCATCAGACCGCTCGTTCCGCCGCCGTAGACTAGCTGCACATTGTTCTTGTGGAACTCTTGGGCCAGGGCGCGTGCGGCTACCATATGCGCGGGATTATTGCCCGGGCTCGAACCGCAGCTGTGGTTGTTTCGTTAGCAGGCGGGATTATGAGGATACGTGGGGTATTGGGGGGGGAACTCACAATACGCAGACGACGGCTGGCTTGTCTTGAGAAGAGGGAGCAGGCATTTTGGACAGAAGGTTGGTTGTAGGTATATTGCGATGTAGGAAGAGTGTCTTTCTCTCGGTCTATGTCAGGGGGAGAGTGAGTCAGAGACAAAGGAGAAAGAAGAGGAAGAGGCGAGGCTGCGATATCCGATAAGATAAGATAAGATAAGAACTTGCCCTGTGGTCGAGGGACGGATAATGACTGGATAGGGATCGTAGAGACTAGTATTGATGGACTCCACTGTTCTTCAAAGAAGGGTGTCATACACGAATCATGAGCTGGCAACAGCTTTGCTCTTCTTCCTCTTCGCCTTGTGCTCGGCCGAGCTCGGCGGCGAACTGCTCTTATCCGACGCTTTGCCCGGCGTTTCCACGCGCACCTGCGGCGTCGACACTCGCCCCGGCGGCCCACCAGAGGGAGTATTTGTTCCCGTTGTCGTCGCACCGGTGATTTTGTTGGATGCTGATTTGGCGGGGCCCGCCGTGCGATCCATCTCGCCGCCATTCCGCGACAGGATGAACGAGCCCGGCTCGCCCGATAGCGGATTCTCGTCCATGTATTCGTCGCCGTACCGGGTAAGCAGATTGAATGCCTCTGCTAGACTCCGTGTGTCCTGGTAGCTGGAGCTGGTGGTGGAGACGCCCAGGCCTGCCTTGGCGGCTGCTTGCGAATCTGGTGCTTCGGGTATAGGAGTGGTTTCTTTACTTTGTTGGGAGGCTTGCTGGGCAGCAGCAGCTGTAGTATCTGTGGCACGTGTGGGTGGCATATAGGTGTGTCCGTAGGAAGGGGTGAAAGTCGGCAGGGTGGAGGCAGTTTTCATAAGTCGCGAGAGAGAAGTGACGGCCGAAAGCTGGGACTGGTCAGCGCACTCGTCATGACAAGACAGACAATAACCTACAATTCGATTTCCCACGACGCTGGCGACCGAGGGTGCCATGTAGATACAGTCGCCGACAACAAAATACGTCGATAGTACGGTCACCTCATCGTCCATCCCACTCCGCTTCCGCCGATTTTGTTTCCGAATCACCCAGACATTCGACGGCTCGTGCGCAAAGCGCGTATCGGATTGCGCGGCAGCCTGTAACGGGTCGTAGGCGACGATGAACTCCAGCCCTTGCATGGTCTTCAATCGGTCCTCGAAGGCTTCGCGGGTCTCGACGAAGTGACGGAACGCGTCGTTGTAGTTGGCCTGGATGGCGAGGGAGGCATTGTTGGAGGTGGGATCGAAGAAGGGGGATTCGGCGAAGTAGAAGAGGACTGGAGGGCGATGTCAGTGCTGGGCGTTGGTTTGGGTGTGGTTGCGAGGCTCACTGTTGTTGGAGTGCAGGAAGCCACCCATCATCTGGACATGAGGCGGCGATCGCCAGAGGATTTCCTCCATGGAGGCATCTTGAGCCATTGTCTTATTAGCGGGATTGCGTTGTCGGGAGGCAGAGGGAGAAGAGAAAGAGTTGGAGAAAGAGAGAGCGAGGTGATGCGGAGAAAGAATTATGTTTAGCTTGTTTGCAGATCTCACTCTATGCTTCCCCAATACAACATCTACATTTTCTACCTAGAATCCACCGAGAAAGATGTCAATTGAAACTAAAATATTTGAATGACATCAGAAAGACGAGAAAATTGATCACGTTGTCTTTCGATACGGGCATGGCAACCCGAGTCCCGTCCTTTGAACATGTTGGGCACAGCGAAACATGAGCTCTTCCATCGATCTCCTCTCCGGGTTCAAAGGTTCATTGAATTGTTTGAGATCGAAGGCCGCGGCATGTTTTCCCATGAGATTCATGGCGTGGCGAGCAACAAGGTAGGTGAGGCAATGTGATCGTTCCAGCAGATAGTGGAGTGAACACTCGGATCAACCACCGCCAGGACGGCGTACCTTGTCCAGCACCCACGACTTGACGCCTCCCTCCTTCAAGGTCGGATTATTCGCAGGTGCCCAAAGACTCCACCTTCATTCGCGTCCTCGAAACGATCTTCCTCAGTCTCAGCGGGACTGCCTGGCGCAGAGGCTGTGGAGTAAAGTGTGGAAACAGCGCTCAGCAAATATTCAGCTACCCGTCTCAACAACGAAATATGGGCCCTTTGTCTGTGACGCCGAGGCAAGGGCGTTCCCATCCCAGGCACTGCCATCGGGTCGGTCGTTCTTTGCGATTTGCACGCGCTTCACTCTTCTCCGTCGTCCCGTCACTTGTTCCTGCGCCATAGCATCCTGGAGACGATCAAGACCAATAGTGGTCTCCTTCACGGCCTCCGGGCTTTCATCGCGGATACTGCGCAGGGGTTCCACGCCAGTCGCATCCACGCGCTGGATCTCTTTCACGAAGTGGATCTGTGACTCGAGGGTTTGTAGCATGGATCGCTCTTCTTCCTCGCTGGCTGGCTGGGGAAGAGCCGATAGGCGAAGAAGATGGTGGAGTTGCTGGGGGGTGATTGTGGGCGAGGAGGGTTGTGAGGCTCTCTCAGGCAGCAGGGAGCGGACCGACCAGCTGGGCTCGGCGAGGATCGACTCTAGATTTGCATTGGATTTGGAGGAGGAGAAACGAGAGGAAGCTGTGTTGAGCCGACAGAGTGTTGACAATCGAGAACGAACACTGGCCATCATTGTGGTGGTCTATACAGTCGTAGTGATGCCAATAGATGTGGAAGTTCACCACTCGGTGTTGAAAACAGGCTGATGTGCGTCACCGCCCTTGGACCCGCCTTAAGCTCATATCAACTTCGGCTCCTCCATCTACTACTACTGCCTCGATCACCAACTACCCTCCTCCCAACATGACAGACCCCCGTGTCCTCCTGCAAAAGGTGAGTTTATGCATCCATAACACGACAGCGATGATGGCTGACCATGACCTCCGCCCAGGCCGACAAAGCGCTCTCTGGCGCCTCAGGCGGCTTTAGCCTCTTCGGCGGACGCACCGAGAAGTACGAGAATGCCGCAGACTTGTACACACAGGCAGCAAATGCCTTTCGAGTCCAGAAACTGAGTGAGACCCGAACCCTTCCTTCCCCGCCTTCTGTCGCCCCCAAGGTGACTTGTACTGACCAACTTGTGATTCCATGCAGACAAGGAAGCCGGTCAAGCTTTCGAGAAAGCGGCCTCCATCCAAGCCCAGAACCTCAACGAGCCCGACGACGCCGCAAACTCCAACCAGGAAGCCTTTAAAGTATACCGCAAGATAGAACCCCTCGAGGCAGCGCGCGTGCTCTCCGCCGCCATCCAGCACTATGTTCTGCGGGGAAACCTGCGCCGTGCCGCGACGCAGCAGCAGCACTTGGCCGAGGTGTATGAGGTGGAACTGGGTGATATGAAGAAGGCGTTGGAGGCCTACGAACAGGCTGCGGATTGGTTTGAGAGTGATAATGCTGAGGCGTACGCAGTGCCCCGCCATTCCTCCCCGGAGCTGGCATGAGGACGGAGAGGAGCTAACACTGGTGTTCTTTACAGACTTGCAAACAAGCACTATCTCAAGGTCGCCGATCTGGCTGCCCTGGAAGGAGATTACTACAAATCAATCAACCACTTCGAGCGCGTGGCCAAGGCGTCTGTCGGGAACAATCTAATGAGGTGGTCTGTGAAGGACTATTTCCTCAAGGCAGGCATCTGCCACCTCGCCACAAAGGTACACCTATCTCTATATTCCACTTAGCGTCACACTAATTTCTTTTCTACAGGACTTGGTCGAGTCAGGCCGTGCCCTTGAATCGTACCGCGAGCTCGACCCAACCTTCGCCTCGACTAGGGAACACCAACTGCTCGCAGACCTGTTGGAAGCCGTTGAGAAGAACGACCAGGAATCCTTCTCTGAGAAGCTGTACTTGTTTGACCGGATGAGCACACTCGACCAGTGGAAGACGACTATGTTGCTGCGGGTGAAAGACAATATCGAGGAGGCGGAGGAGGACTTTTCGTAGATCGTCTACTGGGCACGGAGTGTTCAAGATGCGTCAACAATTGCGGGTTTTTTATCTTGTTTGGTTTGGATGATTTGTGCTAGGTACTTCTGGTCTGGAAACGAGTGCAGACCAAGGACTCTCTTATGCTTTATTCTGCTGGCATTCTTCTACTCTACTATACAGCAATGAGTGGATCGACCGA